TGACAACAGAATTGTAGTTGCTGTTTGTTGTGTAGTTGGCAGTGGTGGCGCAGTTTGGGTAGATACAACACAGAGTGATCATTAGATCCAAAACACAGGCGCCCAAGCTGTCTTCACCTGACGGTTACAGACTTGGAGACACGCCTTCACAATACTGCACAAAACCCATGCAGTAGAATAGAGTCAGTTCTTGCATACAAATCCCAACATGGTGTTACGAAGTCATTTAACGCAGGATATATGCACACCCTATGCTGCTTTACTACCCTGCAGCACACAACATTTTCCTAAAACGAGTGTACAAGGCAGAAGGACGAGGTTCTCTTTACCAAACGCCGGCTCTCGGCAGGGATACAGCAGCATCTACAACTACATATACCTATACCTCCGATTTGAACGCGAGAGAGGGGGGAGGGGAATACCAACGGCTGTTTGTTTTTCTGCGTTTTTGCTTTGGTCTCACCGTTTGGACCTGGCTGCCCCCGACCAATGCTTGCCGCCAACCAAGTAAGTCCAGCAGAGTCCTCTAGCATTGGCCGGCCTTCTCGAGAGGAGGAGGAGGCGTCGTCATCCCGTGACTGCACGGGTTGACGAGCTTCCTCTTCCTGTAGCTGTTGCTGCTCTCGACTCTCGCACCTCTCCTGCCTCAGCTGCTGCTGCAGCTGCTGCTGCTGCTCCCAGTCACCCCATGGTTCATCGCACCCCTGGGCGTTGTCTAGTGCGAGTACTTCCTCGCCCAAGAGAGAGGGCTCGCCTTCTCGGAGGCAGGGTAGAGCCGTTTGGCCTTCTCGGATGCAGGGTAGGGCGGGAGTGGAGGGGAGTAGTGGGCCGAGCTGTGCCGGACCGCTTGCTCCAACGCCAACACGTTGTGCGCTCTCACACTCAATGCTGTCACGGCTGAGGACCGCGTGGTCGTTGACGCCTGCACTCATCTCTTGGGCCCGTGTGGTGGCCTCGTGTGTGCCGGACTAGTGTGGGCAGGGTTGTGGCTGTACGGAAGTTGACGGAGAGAGTGGCGACAAGGCTGATGATGATGTTCAGCCTCAGGACACCGGCGAAGCAGAAGCTGTGGGAGACACCGGCGAAGCAGCAGCTGTGGGAGGAGCCGGACACACAGCCTCTAGCGGTACAAGTGGTGAGGCCGCCCGAAAAAGTTCGAGGACGAACCTTTTCGATGGGCTGTGACAACAGAATTGTAGTTGCTGTTTGTTGTGTAGTTGGCAGTGGTGGCGCAGTTTGGGTAGATACAACACAGAGTGATCATTAGATCCAAAACACAGGCGCCCAAGCTGTCTTCACCTGACGGTTACAGACTTGGAGACACGCCTTCACAATACTGCACAAAACCCATGCAGTAGAATAGAGTCAGTTCTTGCATACAAATCCCAACAT